AATGCTTTAAATTGGAAGTTTTCTACTAACAACAAAAAGAAAATTAAAAACGTTAATGTGGCTGAGAATTATTGGTCGTTTAAAATCCTATGTAGACACCGTTAGAAACTAACGACGTGAACTTTTTTTAAATTTGACCAATAATTATTATGAAACATATTTTACTGAGTTGAAATTTTCTAGGTTTTTCCTATATATATTTTTTAAATCATATGCAATAGATTTTTAAGATTTTTACTCTTATAAATTGTTTAGAAGATTTCTAATCAACTTTTTTTTCTGGGAAAGATTGAATAAAATATTATAATATTTTCTATATATATTTTGTGAAATCATATACGAACAATAACACTTATGTTTAGTAAAAAAATCTTGCTCCTATAATTAGTTTTATATGAAACTATTTCACTATAAAGAATAAATCTTGATTTTTACTTTTGGATATGTATTCTTCTAGAAAATTGTGTGATTGTATGATAACGAAATCATATCGAGAATATCATAATATAAATTTCCTCCCCCCAAAAAAAGCCTCGTATATTCAGTTAAAAGTGTATTGAAAAGTGATGACATTCGATCAAATTTTCTTAATTTGTCTTGACATTAATTTATTGGTCAATTATAGATAATTCTAAACATGTTTTGATCATAATTTTTATTATTTTAGATTAATGAAGTTTGAACTATCTATATGTTTTCTTTTAATATCGAAAATATCAATTTTTTTTATTGCATATAAAAAATAATCAATTAGATGACTTTATTTTAAAAAAATAATTCATAGCATAGATTATAGAAAATCCATATTAGATGGATTTAAATTAGGAACAGATAATTACAAATTTTATATAATAGATTGAATACTAAAAATATATAACCTTTTCCAAAAACGTCAAAAACAAAGTGAAAAAATAGCTAGATATAAATAGAGAAACTGAAACGACCACAATATAGTGATATCCATGAAAAAAGTAAGTATAAAAAATATGTTTTAGACACTTTTAACCACTATAAATTTTTCATCACCTTACATTTAAACCTTATAGTCTCTCTTCCTCCAAAATTTATACTTAATTTGTGGACATAGCAAAAACCAAAGTATGCTTTGCATAAAAGTACGAACATAAGTTAACACACATATCTACATATTAATACAATAATTG